AAAAAAAAAAAAAAAAAAGAAAAAAATAAGGGTCTTTATAAAATATGAGGTGCTTTATAGTCGCGACGAGTTCTACATTCAAATTTATGTATTCTGTTTTTCGACGTAATTTTTCATAGCTGCGACAAAGTTACTTCGCGTATACAAGTTAACTAGTTTTTATCATATCGGAAACACGTTCTAGAATTAATTGCAGCGAATACAGTCCACACAGTGAACACATAATGGCTAGTATTTTCAATTATTAACTCCGATATACTTCTTTATCCACGGAACCTTGTACACGAGACCTTGCGCTAATCTTTACCTCCTTCGCCACCGATTTCGCACGTGTGCGACTTCGGTAGTTATCGTATCTGTTATCGTATTGTAAATTTTTATCCAGTTATCACGACAAATATTGCGCAATTAGCGTAATCTACCTGGAGAAGACCTTCGTCTAATATCAGACTCCAACATTCTGTATTCCCTTGGCACGTGTGCTCGTTGGTCTGCGGATGCGGCTTGACGAAGGCTTGCTCCACGTCGTTCATGTGTACCCTCTTCAAATACGAATTAGGTACGAGATACCACACCAACCTTCGTCGAACGGCCAAAAAGTTCGGAAAGTACTTCTTGCAAACTCCTTCTGACAAAAATTCCACCTTCGTTCGCCAGCTTGATTGCCGAATTCTCTTAACTTTAATCACTGCTGCTATTTTTTTTTTATCACCGCCGCGTTTCGTATTATCTGCAGAATATTATTTCTGCATTCAGACGAATATCTCAGGCTACTGGCGATTCTGCGATACACGAAATATCATCTTGAAGCGCATGAAGCGGGGAGTTGTGTATTCAACGTGGGCGGTCTCGTGGAGTGATGTGAGAAGAGTTTCTCAAACCGTTTCGAACCTCGTACGAGTGAACGCGATGCGTTTTGTAGAAACAGTCATTGTACTAGGTGGCTTTATCACTTGCGCACTTGCGTCTCACGCAGTTTAATCTAAGACTCGATAGCGTATTACGCATCATAGGTTAGTGTTCGCGTAACTCCGAGATTCGCGAGACTGAATCGCAGACGTACGAAACTCAATGTAAATTACGAACTTCGCAGAGAAGCCACTATTTTTTTTTTTGTCAGACGTGCAAAACCAGGACGAATCGATCGCGGAAGTCTAACGTCCTCATTTTGCAACCAGTTTTTCATTGACAATATGAATGTCCTCTCGATGATATCCGGTCGGGGAGCTCGGCGATATCTTTCCTAAGGCGTGGTTCCAGCGCCTACTTCGAGAATCCACTTCTTCTTGATTGCAAGAACGATTCGTGCACCACACTATCGGCAGGATCGCACTCGGCTCGAAGAAACGCTTCCGGAACCGTTTATCGCGCGCCTATCGAATGAACGGATGTTCGCTCGCGAGACCGCCTCTTCTCCGTGCAAAACGTGGAGTCGACTTTTCCGCGGGATTCGCGTTCACTACCAACCGCGTGTCGTCCGTGAATGTCGGCGCCGACGGCCAGGATCACAAACATCGCGATCGCGTCCACCACGGCTCATGGTAGTAGGGGTTCGCGCCACCTCTCTCATTGGCGGAAGCTTTTCAGACGTGTTCCTCCACGTGCACGCGAAGTCCTGCACACGTACGCGTTGCGTCACGTCTCGCTGGACGTACTCGCCGTGGACTATCTGGGTAGGTCATTGTCACGATCGTCCTCTCCTACAACGATGTGATTTCTCGACGGGATGCATTGTGCGACATGCTCCGGCAACAGCATCGGAATTTAAGTCCGGGAAAATATCTACTTTCTTTCCAAGGGGTTTCAGGGTGCCTTCGAGTCCACGGTGTGGATCTTCGCCTCAAAGAGTTATATCCTATGTTTATTTTGTTAATCCATTAATGCGATGGGACGGGACTTTAAGAGACCGAGCGCGTAACTTATTTGCTTCCGTGTGTCACATTGGAATTCAGTATATGTAAATATTATAATATAGATGAGAGAAAATCGGAGTACGCTGCTAATGTGTATAAAAACAATATGTTTTATACATAGTTATTATTTCTCTTTCATATAGTATATAAAACTAAATGTTCGTCGAATTTTATGTATCTTTGAAATTTATAGAAATGTACCAATACGTGGAATTCGCGATTGCGTTACATCTGAAATGGATGTTTTCGTACTACTTAGGAAGTATGGCGTTACATTTAACTATCGCGGCCATAACTGAATGATACCATTCGCATTACACTTGTGGTATTGTTAAGCTACTGTCAGATAAAATCTGATTTATAATTTATAAAATGCACATTGAACGAAACTAGTGGAAATGGCTCAAGAAACATCAAGTGCTTATGGCTTTCTAATAGGCGCGATATATATGTGAATCTAAAACTTGCTCAGCGAGTACTATAAAATTCTATAATGTTATAAAATGTCAACGAATGGCGCCTCAATCTTAAACACGCCGAGTAAAATCTCCCATACTTGAAATACTGAAAATGATAATAGATCTAAACGAATAAACCGCGGAAGAAAGGAGGGAAAAAGACAAGTAAAAAATAAAAAAAGTTAAAAAGGCAAACACAATATTATATCGCACAAAAAAATTATTTGATGTCAATTATTGATAATTCTGAAAAAAAATTCTTTTTAAAGAATTTAATTAATATTGCTAACTAAAAACTTTCTGATAAATAAGACGGATAAAAAGTCCGTCGCATATTGCACACGTTAAACAAAAAGTATCAAAGATAATAAATTATAGTTCCAGAAAAAAATTATGCAGTGTGCTGCTCAAGGTGTAATAATATATAGCGACCCAACAAGTAGCGTGTAATTATAATCAGCGAGTTGGCCGTTCATGTACTGCAAAAATGCGTCACATGAATTCATGACAAAGTGTGTCGAACAAATATCAGCCCTTTAAAATAACGAGTAATTCTCGATTATCTGTAATTTCCGCGCTTAGATTATTAGATAGTGAGATTATCTATAGTTTGTTTTAAACAGTTTTAAACAAACTATAGATAGATTTCTATCTAACCGACTATGTAAAAGTCGATACTCAAGTTCAGATAGTACAGTCGCGTAAAATCTTTGCGAAAGCATGCATAAAAGATATTTTGCTATTTTTGCACCCAGTTGCTAATTAAAGTATGGAAATTGAATGTAATAACGTGTAATTAATTGCATACTAACAATACGTAAGTATAATACCGTAGTAAATACGTAAACGAAAGATGTAATCAAAACGATAAGAAAGATGCAATTACAATAAGTAAAAATGCATTAAAATTTAAAAATATTTTTCTTGAAACAAAAATTTTTGCTCATGTGGTCTTCTTTTAGAGCCACCGTTTTAATTGCATAATGATTCTGCGAAAATTGAAATTTACAAGAAATAAATTTTTTGTGCAGCAAAAAATGCAGATTATGATGGCGATCTGTTTTTAATACGTTCTTACGCCTCCATCGCCTCGTTACATTAAAGTGCGGTTATGACGTGCAATTGTCGGATCCCCGAAAGAGAAGTGCGGAGCCACAGGAATGGAGCCGCACCGGTGTTTTCGCGGTCGACGTTGTAAATAAAGAGTGTCCCGTTTATGGACCGTAAACGCCGCTCTAACTGTGCGGCTTTTGCACGCTGTTCTTATCTCCTTGACGTTTGTTTCCTACTTCGTATATCACCACTCCCCTCGTGGTATTATCGCGCCATTTTGAACCTCTCATTAATGGAATGTCGAAAAATCACAAATGCCGTGGTTGCTCTCGGCTATATCATCGTCCTTCAGCGTCTCTCAAAACTGCAATTCCGTACATCGCGAAGAATATTAAGATGACATGCAAGTCGATTTAACCAAACATATTATCACAAGTTGGACCATTTTTCTGGCAAATTGCGGCTGGAAAATGTATAATTGCGAATGATTCAAAATAAAAACTTTAGAAATATTATCTATAATACAAAATATTGAGAGATATATTGAGATCGAATGTTACTAGAAAGGTGATAATCTTATCCAGAAAGCGCATCGAAATAAAAAATTTCATTGACTTACTTAGGTGACATATATGTTCAGTAAGAAGCCTGCGTGGCTTGTATATAAATCATTACATTGTCGCAATCATGATGACATTGTGTAAGCAGTAATGAGAGGCACTGGAACACGTTCTAACCTACGGGTAATGAAATCAGGGTCGTACATACCTGGAAGGAGCGGTGGTGTGGATGATGGGGATAATGGGGATGCGATGCGTGAATCATGTCGCCGGTTTCAGGATCCTCGCACCTGGATGACTTTGTGACCTCGACGTTACTCGAGGCGTTGTTACTGATGGCCGCGTCACCCTCTGCACTTGCGGAGTCTTCGACGCTATCCTCTTTCTTCTTCTTCTTCTTCACTTCCGGCTTCGTTTCCTAATAATCAAGCTTTCTATAATAATCACAACGTCGTAGCTTGGCCAAGGACAAGACGTTGATCACACAAAGATATTCTGTCATGTTTAACATACATTAATGTTATCTTTTACTCATTAAAGATTTAAGTAATATCATATTTGCTAAAATTATATATTATATAACTAAAAGTAATTTTTAGAAAACCATTATTATTGCTAAACTCAAAGAATACAAAGTTTCTTAATTTTTAAAGAATAAAAACATTTTTTATTGATTTTGCGGACACCCGACTCAAGAACAACAACTTATTTTGTTTAATTGTAGAATTAATAATATAAAAGATATCTACAGAAAGAAAAAAAATGAGTACATAAATTTCATGACCTCACAAAGCTCGCATCGTAGTTTAAAGACAGACGTACTATTTACTTCTCTCAAAACATTGTATGATAATTGCTTCCAAATACAAAGTACAAAAATGTCTCACACAAACCTCTGGTTGAGCCTCATCGAGGCCAACGAGCTGAAGCGCCTCCTCAAGATTAAATTCGTCGGGCAAGCCAAGAGTATCGTTGGTAAGAAGGCCCTCTACGCCGGCGTTTTCCAAAAGACTACCTCCGAGTAACTCTGAAGTAAAGTCATGCTCGAATCCTAGAGTGTCGTTTAGCCCCAGAGAATCATCGGACAGGTCAGCCAAGGGGTGGTTGTCTAATGCCAACGATGCTTCGTTGAGAAGCGGATCGTCCTCTTCGACGATGCTACTTCCACTACCGTTTTGGCTACCGGAATTGAGAATGTATTCACCTGTACAGAAGTACATAAATGTTCGTTGAGGACGAATCAATATTTAACTTATATCTATCGTCAACGACCGCCAGCGTGATCGAGACAAAGGCACGTTTACAACGCTATATGATTCCTCGCGAAAAGAAGTACGCGTGTTTCGAAACGGCAGGTGATGAAACACAAACGAACGTAAACAAGTTCGCGTGTAAGTCGTAAGGGCAGAGATCACTCGAAGAATATTTAATTAGTCGCCTAATTGTATAGCACAACGTTCAGGAATATTTCTTATACGCCCTATTATGCAACTTTCCGACACGTCATCGACGATTGTTACTATAGGTTTCCTTATTCGTATAATTCCATAATTTTCAATCAGCAAGGTAACCACTATAGAATTAACACTTTCGCGTGCGTTGATGTATTTTTACGTTTCTCTTTTGCAACTGTTTTATAAGAATTAGCTAAATATGCACTATGCGTGCATTTGCATTGACTGATGATAAAAATCGCTCGGCATATTTGTAAATATTTGCGTTATTGAAAACTCAAGGAAACAACGATTATGAACATGTTTGCATTTTAATCACATTATGTCTGTATTATGTTTGCAATATGCGCTATTTAGAAAATAATGCTCACGCATTTAATTATAGCAATCTATTTATATCGCACTATTTACAGTGCTGCGGTATAGACAATGACAGCAATGTGCGACAACGATAGCAATGTGCTCGATCTTTAGAATACTATATATTCCACTCATTTAACACGTTCACTGCCAGATAGATTTTTGGTGATTTTCCGTTGACACCTCACGCATGCGCCTCACGTGTCACATACGTCCCACGTGTTGAGACACTTATTTATATATTATTATTATACATATTACACTGCGACCCACGGCATGATAACTGCAATATACATTTTAGCATCAACGCATGATTTTATTAAATAATGATAATGTTACATTTAGAAATAAAAATATACAATACGGAAAGTTCGGCATGGAGCGTGTACGACCCACGTGGCAGAAATTATTTTTTGCTTTACTTTTTAATTTAATAAAAACATGATTTATTTCGTCGGATACATTAAAATTGCCATAACGTTTATCGATGCGCTTAAAGATGCAATAAAATTATTATTGTAATCTGAAATATCTTTGCTTCTTTTGCATTCACCACGCTATAAACAAGGTAATTAGTGGTATCGTGATTAATCGTCTATCGATGCTTTATTATGCGCACGGGAAGTTATGAGAAAAAATAAATTCACAATATTTTACTGCATATCGAATAAACTTATGACTCGGCAGAAAACGGCCTATTCCAAAGCACGCTGCTTGAAAACTGGTAACTAGCGACGGACAGGTAAAATTTTTCGGGTAGAGAAAAATAGAGAGTGAGGGAGGGAAAGAAAGAGAGAAAGAGAGAGGGAGAGAGAAAAGCTGAACTAATTGAAGTACAAAGGAAGATGTTGTTGAAGATCCACCTGCAAGTTTCAGCAGTCCCCATATGTTCCCGCCTTTCGGCCAATCGCACGTTACTATAATACATCTCATCCCTTGCGTATACACAAGAGATGACATAGGCAAGGCTGTTCGAATTGTTCACGGTTTCCAGAATACGCAGCGGATAACCAACACATTGTAATTTTATATGCTTCAAACAGACAAATAACATTTTCATATCCGAGCAATGAGCTGCGTTGAAAAATTGTTTCTTTAGCTCTATGTTAGAGCGTGTCTAAATAAAAATACTACTGTTTTCTATAATTGTAAATTAATTTTACACGATAAAAAATTTGATAAATTAATAAAACAATTTCAGAGGCTTAATTTTAATTTGGGCATTGCTGATTATTATAATTATGTGTACTACTGTTTCATAAAACTGAAATATTCAAATGTGAGTGAGATTAATAATGTAATTTATATAATATTTAGCGAATAATAACTAAAAGAGCCAAAAGCTTATGCTATATAAATTTTGACAATAATCGTATAGTTTTTTAAGAAAGATTCGAAAAATGTAGGTAAAGTATTAAGCTAAACAGTGTTTTGCTAGCTTTCCTTTTCTATTGACGGCAATTATTATATTTAGCCGCAGAATATTTAATATTTTGCGCGTGACCGACATCAGGTATAAGAACTTCTAAAATTTCTACCTGAACCTTTGACACAAAACGTTGATATTATCAAGCAACTTGAGCGAGCTACTTCTACGTGTGAACATTTCCATCGAACACAAAAGCACACTCCTTTTTCTCCCCGCGGCCGGTCGATGTTATTAGAGATAATAATCTCATAAAATAATAATTCCTCTTCGGGGGCTGCCTGGAAGTCGGGCAGGTCGGCCCGACAAAACGACGGACAGGTTGGCCGTGGAAGAGGAGGATTTTCGTCCTGCGCGGCTACTATCGGTGAGTGCCGGTGCCTCGAAGTAAAGAGAGAGAGATCGCACCTTTCGGATGCCTATTACATTAACGAGTGGTGGCGGCCATTGTCTGGCCCAAATGCGAGGCCGACCGCGCGATAATGGCCGCCTATAATTTGAGGGAAGTCGGAACCAGCCCCTTCCCGTACGACGTAAAGCCTATGTAAAGCCCGCGGGAATTACGAGGTAAAATTACTTTCAGCCGCATACACACCGACGTGTGCGCCACGCGTAATTGGTACAGACATAATTTTTAACCGGCGCGGTATAATTTTTTGTGATTTTTATTATCGTGCCCCGTCTGCCTCTTTCTGTTATAACAGATATTTATAGAATGTAATTTACGTCGCGTCCTTATTTCTCCCCGATAGAAATTTACTATGTGTGCATGTGGGTATTAAAGACAGCAAAAATGTCTCGATATACACTTTCTCTCCGTTTTTTAATCAAGAGAAATAATTTCCAATAATAATTACGCAATGAAAATCTTGTGACAAATGTGAGCTGAAGTATGTTCGATAAAGTGGAAAAATTAGTAGACGGGAAAAGTCACTATATCTATATCTAATCTTCTTTTATACATGAGATTAGAAATTGAAGAGCTGCATTGAACAAAAGATCAAAAGATCAGGTATTTCTCGTTGGATTTCATTTTTAATTGGTATTTAGCTTCATCAACAATTAATCTTATATGTATCATATTATTCTGAGAAAGAACGATGATTCTGTTTATCAAATTGAAACCATTAATTAAAATTATTATAATTTTATCATACTAATTTTTATGTTTTTCAACATATAAATCCATATTAAGGTGCATATTGGAGTTTTAAAATTAATATAAATAAAGACAGATAAATGAGTGTTGCTTCAAAATTACTTTAGGCTGTAAAGAGTTTAAGATTTCTTTCTGATCGAATTAAAATTTGTTACAGTTACTAATAATTAAGGTTTCAAAGAGTAAATAAAGGTTTTCCTCGGTGCTCGAGATTCTGCCGTCGGAATGGGTTTTCCTTCGACCAAGCATGTCCGTCGCATGGAATTCGCTCTATCACGCTGCATCTAATGGCGCAGCCCTTCGGCTTTTTCAATTCCACGGCTTCTTTGAAGCCCGCGTTCGGCTTTTTCCACGGCCACGGGAACGTCGACAGATCATTTCTCATATTTCGCGCGCACGCTTAACGACCATTTTCTTCCGCCCCTCCCCTTCCCCCTTTTTCTTTTTCCTTCATCTCGACGGGTCCGCCGCGTTGGATAATAATTCTTGCATTACTCGACAAAATTTTCGGTGCCGACGATCCTTCTGTGCCGAGGATCGGGAACGCGCGCTTGTTCGCCCGTTTCCTATTCGTTCGCAGGGGCATCCGACGCGACGCCGGAACAGAATCCTCGAGACTAAATGCGCCGGTACGATTGTCCTATCCTAGGGGCTGACAAATATATATATATGTGTGTGTATGTATGTGTGTGTGTGTGTGTGTCATGGCAATTCAACAAAGAGTGACAATTTGGTGCCTGGTTCCCGATATTAACTCCGGAACGGAGCTTGACGTCTCATTTGGAGTCGAAGGAGCGCGCGAATCGTCGCGCGTCACCTGCCGTGAACGATAAATCGTAATTACGGTCATCAATCCTGCCGCTGATCGATGTCGAATTATCGGTCGTTTCGTCGAGTCTTGTTTCGTCGGACAAGTGTGCGAACCGTTCGGTCAATTGGATGGACGCGTCCTCAATGTGTCTTACGCTTATTATATCTTATGTTTCTTGAAAAGCTTTTTGTTCAGTCTTTTCAACCAAACATGAAAGTTTATTAGAAATTCAATATTTCGCATATCATTATTGAGTGTAAATGCAGACAAAAATAATTAATAATTTTGCATTCAATTTTCAAAAATTTATATGTAAAGATAACAAAAAATTATCAGTATTGCCCAATAATATTAATGTAAATTATGATATTTGTGATTTCATTAATTAATAAACACATGAATAGATACATAAATAGTACTCTACTTTTAAATACATTTAAAATTTCGTAAAATTTAAATATAAGGAACAAAAGAGTCAATGCTATTTGTCCGTGCAAACGTGTATTAAAAAGAGAATAAATGATGTATGTTTATTTGTTTTTAATACATGTTTGCACGAACAACTAGCATTAACTCTTTTGCTTCTCACATTTAAATTTTTGATATTTATTGTCGGAATCTTAATAATTTTAATTTTTATTCATTAAATACGTAAAATTTAAAATTAGAATTGACAAATAATAAATGGAAAATTATATATCATTCTTTGCATAATATTGCATTTATAAAATAGTGTATAGCAATAATGTATAAACAGATTACGGATAACAATTATAGTTGTCAGCCGTCGCACAGATTTACGCAAAATTTTTTACTAAAAACATAATGCATTCGTAATTGTTAATTACAATTCTTACAATTATGTTCAAGATTGCTCATATTAAAATTATTTATGAAACATAATTATTTATAATTACCTAAATATATATTTAATGCAAAAATATTAATTTTTAAATTATAACAAGAGCTGAAACTATGACGCAAATATTTACAA